CACACACTCACACTCACACACACGCACACTCACACACACTCACACTCACACACTCACACACACACTCTCACACTCACACACACACACGCTCACACACACTCACACTCACACACTCACACACACTCACACTCACCAGAAGGAGCCTTCCCCTATGACGTCACAACCTTGGGGGGTGGTCCCGACCCCTCTGGCCTCCTCAAACTTGGCTGGCCTGGGACCTCCGGTAACGTCTGCCCCATGCCCAGCACGGTGGGAGCCCTGCGGGTGGGCGCCGGTCACGCAGCCTGATCGAGCCCACGTCCGCGTGTGTTGCCAGGAGGCTCGGTCGGGCTGGGCTCAATGATGGGGCATCATCTTTCCGTGCAAAGCGGACGGAAGAGGAGAAGCTTGTGTGCACCTTTACCCCCCGACCTCCCTCTCCGCCCCCCCCTCTTCCCCCCCCCTCCTCTACGCCCCCTCCCCTCTCTGTCCTTCCCTCCCCGGGATGTCTGACTTCTTTATTTTCGGGGGAAAGTTTTTGATTCTGCTCGGTGAGAATTTCCACTTGGACGTGCCTCATGTTCTGATTTTTGATTTCTGTTCGTTTCATTCGAATCATTTCTGATTTTTTGGGGTCCCCCCCTCCCCGTCCCGCCCCGGCTCGGCTGCTCTGAAGAAGGGCCGTCTGTGTGTCTGCCCAGATGCAAACTGGGTCACATCTGGTTAGAGGTCGGCCCGCTCACTGCTCTGGATCCGTTGTGATTCTGGTGGTGAAGATGGGAAATCATCTCCCACTCTCTTCCCTTTCTCAGGAGTCTAACGTGTCACACTTAAGTAGAGGAAAGACACGTCCCCTTCCTTGTCTGACCTCATAAGTGGCAGCCGGTTCCCAACAGAAGTGTCTCAGTGGCTGGTAGGGGCGTTTCCATGCCCGCGTGGCTTCGATGATTTGCAGATTCTGAAGAGCCCTCAGTTCTGGGCAGAGTTCTGGGCTCTAGTTTAGGGTCAGTGCTGGAACAAAATGACACATTTGTCTGTCACTTACCAGGCAGTTTAACAAGAGTTGTTGCTCCTACCATGGAGAGGCAGTGCAGACTTGTGCAGAGAGGCTGACTCTGGCCTCTGCTCTGTCCTTTATTAACTGGGGCACCTTCACCCTCTCTCTGGGCCTTCATTTCCCCCTCCAGATGTGGGTGTTGAATTAAGAGTTCTTGAAGGACCCTTTCCTCTTTAATCTTTGGAAAGATGGCATCTGGAAGCCACAACCAGACGTTTGTATGAACAGATCAGCCCATTCATTCATTGTGCCAGGCTGCTGAGTGCTAGCCCCCAACCAGGATTGAGGGTTCCAGTGACCGTCGCTGGGAAAGCAGTCACAATTTCAAGCGGCCTAGGGGTTAGGAGTAAGGAAACAGCCCTCACTTCCACTTGGGAAGGGCCTGGTTGGTGACTGACGTTCACTCTTCAGGTCCCAGGTTGTGCTGTGGGGCTGCCTTTCTCTCCACAGGATGTGGTGCTGCTGGATAACCCTCCCTCTCTTGCAGGCTTTTCCATCTTTGCAGGGTCAGATCAAAACCAACTGTTTAGTCTCAGTCTTGACCTGCCATCCAGGAGTGTTGGGCCAGGAGCTCTCCGGCTCTGCAGTCTGCCTAGATTTGGCCAGGGTTTAGGCAAACATGAGATTTAAGACTTGGATGGTGAGGGTTTGACCCTCATCTTTGCCTGTAAAGTAAGGAGGATAATACCTGTGGTACCTGATCCATAAGGCTGTTAAGGCCTTGTCTGTGAGCCCACAGGTAGTGTCAGAGGTGGGTTGTACATCCGGATCACCTGGGCCTAGGTCCCACACTCTCTCCAGGGGTAGTATGAGGAGGGGGATGTGCCATCTGAAGCCTGATGTTTAAGGACTGGAGGATCTAGGCTTCTGCTCTCTGCCAGCTCAGTCACAATGTCTGATCTGCTCCTTTGATCTGAATGGGTTCTCACTTTGGGAGGTTTCCTACCCTCTGGCAGGGGCAAGGCCCACATCTGGAGCACCGACTGCTAAGTCTTCAGCAAGTTGGAGAGGGGAGACAGTTCATGTGACAGTTACAGGGTGGCTAGGAAAATGGTCTGTGGACCGCGTGCTTCTCTTTAAAGTTTTTATGGCATTCAGAGTATCCAGAAGAGTGCAAACTGTTGGGTGGGAGATTGGACCACAAGCCGAAGGAAGACTTGAAGGAGGCCTGAGAGCCACCTTCCAGTGTCTGAAGGCCTGTCATGGGAAGACCATTTGTACTTGATCTCAGCAGCCCTAGAGGGAAGAATTAGGGGCCACACGTGGGTGCTGTAAGCAGAAAACTTTCCCCTCATCTGAACCCACGTTTGCCTAGCAATGAGCTAGGCCAAATGGGAATAGGCTGCTTTGGGAGGTAGGAAGTGGCTCTTGCTGGCGGACCACCGTCATCTGAACCCCCAGCTAGAGGAGATGATAGGCGAGGGGCTTCCTGCTCAGGTCCGGGTTTGCCTGGATAGCTCCCCATCTCTGCATGGGGACCCTGCCTGCCGGTCCCTTGACACACACCCTTCTGGCCAAAGCATGTTCTCGTGCCCTACAAAGGAAGCAGAAGGGGGAGGGCTTTCCTCCATGTTTGCGATCCTCATGTTGTACGAGCCGCTTTGGAGATGAGAAATCCAAGCAGGTGCTATCTCTGACCTTACGGAGGAACTTGGATCCTTGGGTTGTTTTGGTTTTTCCCAGGGCTTCCGAAAGAGCCTCTGGGAGCTCAAGGAGCAGTTCTTGTTTGAGGCCACAGAGGGCAGGCGGGTCTGTTGTTTTACCTCCATGTGCTGGGGCCACTCCTCCTGTCTCCTTTTGGACCCAATGAGCAGAAAACGGGCACAGGAGACTGGGGGACAAAGTCTAGCTTTTTCCAGTTCTGCTGGAGAGACTAGGAAGAGCCTATATTGGAGAGGCCAGAGGGAATGGTGAATCTTCCCCTGGCTTGAGGAGTAGAGGAACAAGCTCAAAGCTGGTCTCCCTTCAGCTGATGGGTGACGTTTCCCCCTTCTCCCTAAACTGGCCTGGAAAACGCTGTGTCCATCTTGGGAGAAATTCAGATCGTTTCTGAAGACTTTGTCCAGTTTCCTTTCTGTAATTCTCAGGGATGGGCTGTTCACTCACATCTTGCATGGAGGTGACATTCAAGTGTGTAGCCTTGCTTATTATCTGAGTCTCCTGGAACGTGATGACTGTGGATGAATGGAGGGCACCCCGCTATAAAACAATCTGACACAAAATCATCTCCCTTCCCTTTTACGCCTTCAAAATCCTTCCCTGTTTCCATTCTGCAGAACTAACTTCGCTTCAATAAGTGAGCAAAAATTCCCATTGAAATCCCTTTTTGTCTTTGAGTCTGGAGGCTGCCAAAGGCAAGGCTCCTAGGATTTCTGGTCGTCTCCGGATGATATTTTGTGTCCTTATTGCCCATTCGACCTCATGTCACTAGAGGTGATGGCAATGACGTTCACTGGGGATTCCCTCAGCTCCGTAAACACTTACAGGAGTTTACTGTCCCCATCCCATCCACTTTACTAAGACACGTTTATCCTGTTTCTCTTGGACTGGATATCCTCCATGAGATGGTTTAAAAGTTCTGCCTGTTAATATCTTAGCAAAGGGGTATGTTGATTTACCCACCATAACTGCAGTGTGAAACATTTTATTCTAATTACAGTTCAGCTAGTTAGGTGGAAGGCAAGGGGTATGGCCCAAGTCTGTGATTCATAGGACATGAGTGGGTTGTTACTAGCCTGTCAGCATGAAATCTCAACAGCACGAAGGGTAAGGCCACTGCTATACCAATAGTAGGAGAGAACCTACCCTAGGTGGGACACAAATGGAAATGTGTGGGAACCAGGAGTTCAGCTGATGGATAGTAGATTAATGAGGTGTATGGGGTGTTCAATGAGGACCAGCACCTTTGGTGTGAGGCTTTGCCAAGCGCTTTTCAGGGTTGCTCACCAACCTTTGGAGTCCACCTGTCACCCAACTTACACCTTTGGCTCCAAGCAGCTGTAGCATGGGCAGTGGTTACACTCTAGTAAAACCATTTTGGCAGATGGGCTAAACCAGGTTAAGAGCTTGTCTTCTCCAAGCATGTGAAGACTTCCCCTGGAAGAATGGGCAGATGAGAGAAATTTATTCCAACAGGCCATAAAGGTGACACTGTGGGACACTTCCAGCTTGGTTGCCTGGAGAAGATCATTAGTATTGTACATCAATTTCATGATGGCATGCTCGCCCGGGTTCTAGGTAATGGACAATGCTCTTGTGGTTTCCCAGTTACCAACGGAGTGAAACAAGGCTGTGTGCTGGCTCCTATGCTTTTTAGCAGGATGTTTGCAGCCATGTTGTCAAATGCCTTCAACGAGGATGAACATAGCATCAAGGTCAGCTACCATACTGAGGGTAAATTATCTAACTTGAAAAGGCTACAGACCAAGAGTAAAGTGGAGGGAGAGTTGGCGCATGATTTTTTTTTTTTTTTGTTCACAGATGACTATGCATTCAATGCAGCCTCTGAAGCTCAGATGCAACAGATTATGGATCTGCTGCTTGGGCTGATTTTGGCCTAACAATTAGCACCAAGAAAATGAAGATTCTCCACCTGCCAGCACCACCCTATCTATATGTGGAACCATCAGTTACAGTGGACAGAGAAATTTTGAATACTGTGGATAAGTTCACTTAATTTGGCAGTATACTTTCCAGGAATGTTCACAATGATAATGAGGTTGACCCACACATTGCCAGAGCTAGTTCAGTGTTTGGGAAGCTCTGAAGGAAAAGTGTGGGAGAGAAGAGGTATTAGACTGACTACCAAACTGAAGGTCTACAGAGCTGTTGTGCTGACCTCCTTGTTGTATGCCTGGTAAATGTGGACAGTATCCCAGCGCCATGCCAGGAAACTGACTCGCTTCCATTTGAATTGTCCTAGGAAGATTCTGAAGATCACCTGGCAAGAGAAGGTACTGGACATTGAGGTCCTCTCTCAAGCCAAACTGCCAAGCATTCAAACCCTACTGGAGAGAGTACAACTCCAATGGGCTGATCACGTTGTCATGACAAAAGTACATTTGTCCAAAAGACTTTTATGGAGAATTCACACGAAGCAAGCACTCACGTGGTGGTCAGAAGAAGTGAGACAAGGACACTCTCAAGGTCTCTCTGAAGAGCTTTGGAATCAGTTGTGTGACATGGGAGACACTGGCACAGGATCGCCTGGCATGGTGTGCCCGTATCAGAGAAGGTGCCGTATTCTATCAGCAAAGCAGAACTGCAGTAGCTCAAAAGAAATGTTGAGATGTGCAAATTTAGAGATGTCTCCACTCCAAATGTTCATATAGACTATTTATGCCCAGCCTGTGGCAGAGCATTCTGAGCTTATATACATACAGTTGACACCCTGTACCTTGACCCCAACATAGTGATGTTGTTTTGGTCCTCTTCAAGAATGAAAGACAACAGCCGACCAACCAAGATAAACGGAAGTTAAGTGACTTGCCTAGGGTCATACAGCTAGTGAATGTCTGAGGTCAGATTTGAACTCAGATCTTCCTGACTCCAGGCCCAGTGCTCTATCCACTGAACCACCTAGCTGCCTGCTTAAGGTCCATCCCCCTAATGTTGGCCTCAGTGTACCCCAGCCAAGGATTTTGTAAATGCCCGGGGCATTTGTCTTGTCTTGGGCTACTAGTGATGTGCCAGACCAGCCTGGGGTTGGGGAAAGGAGAAGAACTGTTCCTTCCAGCCAGGTTCTGCTCCCATAGACTTCGAGGAAGCCTGAGTTGGTCTTTGCTTCCAGCATTTTCCCCACATCTGTCCTTGGAGCAGCTGGTGACAGGGGACTCCCCTCCCAACCCCTTCCCTTGCTTTGCACTCTGTTTTCCATCTACCCCAGCTTGTTTATCTCGGGGTCCCTGTAGGATTCTGGAGGATTCTTCTGGGGATCCCAGGGCTGAGTGGAGGTCTTCTGGTGATTCTTGTTTGGTTTTCAGCTATTTCATTTTAAGCTCCAGCAGGCCATTAGAGGACCTCTAGCACAACAGCATCTTCCTACAATTCCCTCCCCTCCTGCATTTTAAAAGACTTTCCCTTGCAGGGATGGCCATGAGATCTTATAAAGATGCCGATATTTGTCCTTGGCTTGAATGTCTGATTTAGGTCTTAATCCTTCTGAACCAGTTTCCATAATATAAAAAGAAGGCTATAGGAATAAGTGAGTAGATTAACATTCCTACAGGGCTTCTTTGCTCAGTGCTTCCAATATTGGTGAGCTGGGCCAGCAGGAAATGTCTTGGGGCTAGAACAGGTCTTAACATGCTCTTTCTTTAATTCTTTTTTCCATTATAGCTTAAAGACCCGATCTCTTTGTTGTTATTTCGTGACTTCCTCACAAGACTTCACTCTTGCTGGATTTTCATACTCCCAATGCCATTCCTGTACAACAGGCTTGATTCTGTTACCTAGATTTGCCCCTCTCTTCTCTATGTGCCTCTTAAAAATTGAAGTTGGTCACGCCCACATTGGTGGCTTTAGACAAATATGATTTTTCCCTTCTAATTGGAATTATTTTTCTTGTGTCATCAGAATTTTGATCGGTACCCACCCATTTGCAGCTGACTTCCTGCAGAATTTTAATATACAATTACATTTTCTTTGAACCCTTTGAAATGTGTTTTCTCCAAATCTAAGGGAGGGCAGTGTTGGGAGGAGCATTGTGTGTCAGACCTATATACTCCTTTCTATTTTCTATGCCAAGATGCATCCATGGAGTCACCTGGATGGTTTATATAAACCTTACTTAAAGAAGACTTTTTAATGGGTGTGGAAATGGAGGGTATTTGAGTACAATGGATGGCCAACATCTAGGTACTAATGTGGGAGATGCCAGACTGAGTTCAAGGCTCAACTCCAAGTCCATTTTGCTAGAGGATAGATCACTTGCAGGTGAGAACCAAAGCAGCAAGGACAAAAAAGACTGAATTTAGAGTTGGAGAACCTTGAGTCAAGGCCTGGCTCTACTTACCCTTTTTGTGAAATGGAGCATCTCTAGGCCTCTTTTCCCTCATCTGTAAAATTGAGAGGGTTGGACAGGGTCACCTCACATCCTTCCTCATTGTGGTCTGCGGGTGCTTCGTGGAGCAGAAGATAGATATTGTTTAACTCCAGACTTTTAAGTGATGGCTACATCAGGATAAAGGCTATGGTTCCCAGAGATGCAGATAGGTGACCATACATGTTCTTGTATAACTCTAGGGAAGACTGGTTAGGGAAGGGCATAGTAAACACCATCGGGAATTTGGTTCCTCTATCCTGTCCATTTTTCATTTAAGCCTTAGTTTTCAGAGACCAATTTTCCTATCTTGTTGACTGGAGGACTATGGAAAAAAGAATTTGAAATTTTGACTTTATTTCAAGGAACTCAGCAATGGAAGACCTGCTTGTGGGCTTATCAGAAGGGGATGCCTTTTAAAGTATAAGACAGTATAGAAATAGGGGCTGTTACTCAGGCTTTAGAAAAGCTTTCTAGCACCATGGCCAGGGAAACTCACAGAGTTAGTTATAGGTACAGCGTCTTAGACCACACCTGCTAGGGAGGCTGCCCTAATCTACATTGTACCTCCCTGTGTGTTCTGTGAGAACTTCATTAATTCAAGGATTTAAGAAGGATAAATAAACCAACTAACCTTTAAGTGCTGCCTTTAAGTGGTTTGGAGGATTTGTGGACTCAGTCTGATTGAGGCGAGCCTTCAGGGCTTGGGAAAGGTGTGGCTACATTGTCTCACAGTCCTGAGAAGTTTGTCCAC